CAAATAACGAGTGGTAACTCAGCTAATCTAATAGGGAAACGTACAAACAACACATGCAATATACCAGATATATATAGAGAGTATAATAGAGTAAAAAGGTCTTTACGTGTGTGTGCGTGTTAGTTTGCTTGGTCAGCCAGGCCCATCGGTGCCTGGCATCGGGGTCATTTACATCTCTTTGGAAAGTGTTTGAAATCAGATGGGGAGATGATAGTGGGGGACTGGTTAGAATCTCCTTGATAGCGAGGACCTATTTGGCAATTTAAACCCCATATAAACGTAAAGTCTGTGACCAGGACTGTAATTTATATGCAAATGTCAAAGGCTAAAAGGGTCTCTTAAGCCATAAAACCCCAAAGATCATGCATGATTCTACGCAGACGCTACACTTGCTACTCATGCTAGCAACATGCTAATCATGCTAACAACAAATGCTAGTAACATGCTATAAACTTGCTAATCATGTTAACAACATGCTAGTAACTTGCTTATCATGCTAGAATCATGTTAACATGCTAGTAACTTGTTAATCATGCTAGAAACATGCTATCAACTTTGTTAAACATGTTAGAAGAATGCTAACATTATGCTAGTAACATGTTAATCGTGCTAGTAACATATTAATCATGCTAGATTCATGATAGCAACATGCTAGTAACTTGCTAGTCATGTTGACAACATGCTAGTAACTTGCTTCTCATGCTAACAAAATGGTAACACCATGCTAGTAACATGCTAATCATATTAGAATTTATTTATTTATATATATTTTTTTCTATTCATTCATTTATTATCTCTCATCTTAACGTTTCATTTACATTCATTCATTCATTATTTGATAGGCTATTTGTTACTGGTCTCCTATCTCAACACATATTTTTTGTTTGTTTGTTCCTGGTGTCTTATGTAAACATTTCACTTACCATAAATCACATAATTTAGTTTTAGAGCACTGTTTTTTTATATTCAAATTTTTGACAGTATTTTTTATATTTCATGTCTACAGGGAATCATTAAGTTGGATCACCCACGAATCCACGTCGACTTCCCTGTCATCCTGTGTGAAATATAAGCACACAGACTCTGTGGGAAGTGACTCTAGGAGCGTCACAATCAGACTAGACTTCCTTCCACCTTCGGTGTTCTTCTGAGAGGATTCTGTTACGACAGCGAGGGTGTTTTCACGTGGCTTTGACCAAAAACATGAATCATATTTTCTGATTTGTATTCTGGTGGACATGCGGTGTCTTGTCTTCTGTGATGTACAGTAAAGGAATGCATGTGCAATGAGAGCGTGTGAGTATGGAGCCTAAAGCAGTGCAGGGATTGTACAGAAATCACTCGTGTTTGTTGATGTCGACCAACTGCAGTGTGTGTTTATCGTCGTATTGTATATTATAATATTCTGTTGTATCAAAGTCTGACTCTGTTTGTTGGGTTGCAACCCACGTCTGCACTTTCTTCTCATTTATTGTACAGTAAATTATGAGTTCATATACTTGAATAAAACCGTTTAGCAGATTACACGGTAGTAATTATTTATGTATCTCAACATAAATGTTTATAATAAAACAAAAAGACAGTCACAGTCATCCATAATGTTAAGGTGAAACAAAATATTCAGTGTGAAAAGATAGTGCTGAAAAACAAATTGGAGATTTATCGGCACCATATCAGTTATTAGTCGATATTAGAATATTTTAATGCAATCTGTATCAGCTGATATTGGATATTTAATTGTGGATATTTAACATATAATCTTTAGCAAATTTCAAAATAAATATCTATTTTTTTCAAACAGTACATAGTGTTGTGACCAGTGGTATTTTAGTATCACTGATATACTGTTGCAGTTTTTGATCATATTTTTTATATTTTCTGTTTTCATTTTAATTTTAGTTAAAGTTTTAGTGCTTTTGTTGTGTTTTTGTCATTTTTATGACTTTGTTTAATGTCTGTATAGTAAACTAACTTACACTAAACAAAATGAGAAATGTTAAGCTGAAATAAAATACGTTTTTTTTAACATCTGTTTTATTTTATTATTTTATTTTCAATAATGGAAATGTGTTTTTTTGTTACGACTTTGAAAATTCACAAGTTTTTAGCATTTTGTTTTTTATTTGTTTAAAATAAATAATGAGGATTTATTATAAACATCGTGGAGATTAATAATAATAATTTATAGTCATTATTAATTCATTCAATAGTATGGAATTTTCATCTATGCTATTTATCAGTTTTTGTCCCTGATAATTAAAGTAGTTTTCTTGTCAGAACCTCACTATTGATGCAACACAATGTAGTTGTAATACAACAGAAAAAGATGTAAAAAAATATTTTTCTAATAAATAATAGTCCATTTTTTAAAAATAATTTATTTTGGGTTGTGAATTGAAAATGCTGTCCCGCTCTCGTATTTAGTTTATTTTGGCTGTGGGTTCTGTAGGTCGCCTGGCACCGGGGATCTGGGTGTGGTAGATGGTGAAATGTCAGAGGTTAAGCTGTTTTCAGTGTTTCCTCGCTTCTTTGAAGTTCACCGCTCGGAGGCTTTCACTCCCGTACAGTGGCTTGATCTCCATCGACATGAGATAGATGCTTTATCAGAGCCAGCCAGGCCCTCAAAGTTAGGTTTCATTAGAAACAGATGCCTGTCTCGGTGAAAATGACTTCACTGGGAATTTTTGTCCCACCCATGTGAATGAAATACAGGAAGCTCCAACAGGATGCCATGTCTGCGCACAATCATTGCCACTGATAAGAGAGAATAAGCTTGGAGGGTTTAAGAGAGCACGTGTGATGAGACATGTGAAGGTCACAGCGGCCCTCATGGGCTTCTGCGTGTGTGAAAGTACTGTTAAAGGAACAGATAACCCAAAATTATAATTCTGTAATCGTAAACTCACCCTATAATGCTTCAAATGTATATGACAGGGCCCTAAGTAGTGATCATAGACAATTAAGGGGACAAGTCCCACCCCCTAAATAATTACAAATAGCTAAATTGTCAATCAAATTAAAGTAGGCAGAACCGTGAACAGATTGAGTCCAGAAAGAGAGTTAAAATGAAATTTGCAAAACATCAACTGACAGTAATATCCAAAGATGCCGTTTTGAATTGAAAATATGGTTTCATTTACGTGATTCATGTAATGTGATGAAACAAGAAACGTATGCGTTTCCTACATATTAGGCATTGCAAACCAAAAAGTGCATGTGTGGATATTGTGTGGCAAAATGTATATAATATGCAAATACATCATGAATTAATCTTCCAAATCGCGTTTTTGTCTTATTCCGAATCACTACGGTACACTTATAATAAATACTTGTATTTGGACTATTGTAGCCTGGTCATCGCTGCGGAGGAACACATACCTGCGTGAATCGCCATAGACATAAACTTAGAGAAGTAGCTCCGGTTGGAATGTTCTTCCGCGGGATGTGTGCAGTTCTGTTTATTAACTGCTAGAGCACCAAAAGTTACATAGTGCTGCTTTAAAATAATAGCCTACTTCTCAACTGTTTATATACAATGGTAAAGGAAATTCTATGTCTAATTCTAGTTGGGAAGTAAGTTAATCATTTAAAAAAATGTGTGTGTGCACGCATATATATATATATATATATATATATATATATATTGGTATATGATAAAGCTCTTCCTGTTCGCTTGTTGATCTGAATGATGAATGATCTTAAGGAAAGGCAAAGCTGCCGGTTGACCTTTGACCTGAGGGTGTGCTATGGGAGTGTCTTATAGGAGTAGAGATGGAGTGATAATACAGGGGAACCGCTGTCTCTGATCTCTCCTAGCGCTCGAGGATGTGAGTTTGCCATTTTTGGGAGACGGGAGTGATGGGTGTGTGTGTGTCCAGTTCCTCTCATATTGTTAAAGCTTCCTAGCGCTGCCTAGTTGGAAGAAACGGTGATGTAAAACCCCAAGAATGGGGAGAAAAGGAAAAGGCCCGAGGAAGGAAGTGGCCCTCTCTCTTTCATGAGCACACACATGCACTGACAGAGGCGACGCATGAGTCAGCAGAATATGCAGGAACGGCGGGCGGAACAGGATCTCTGCAGGTTATTGTCAGAAAGGAACCACTTGAAAGCCACCCAATGCTACTCTGATTTCATATTCATCATGTGCATCCTCAAACGTCAGAAAAGTTTCACTGAATCCACACTATTATTGCTCACCCAGTTTTATAGACAAAACCTAATATGGCTAAATATTAAAATGAATTTAACCTTACATTCATATTACAGTTATGTGATGGAAGAGAAATTGAAATATAAAATTAATTCATTAAAAATAAACTTAATGAAACAAAACTAGCTTAAAGGGTAAATAGTTTATATTATTATTTATTTTAAAACAAAGTTGATTAAACAATGTATAAAAAAATATCACTTTTTAATTTTTTAAAGAATCATTATATATGTCCAAAGCATTACCTTATTTATTTATATATTTATCTATTTGGTGTTAACAGTGAGCTTATTTTTTTGGAATTTTATACCTTTTTTGTTTTAATTACCCCCTCACTTTAAAAATAAATAAATAACTTTATTTCTTTTACTGTTTTCTTTTATTTTTTGACGTAATTGTATAGTGTTTAATATTTAGGTTTGAAGGAAAAAAGTGCATGTATAATGTTATCGTTTATTTTATAAACGTGATTTTTTTGTTTTTCTTTCGTTTTTACTGTTTTATTACTTAATAGCTAAATATTTGTATAATATTTAGATTTCAACGAATATACACGTTCATGTTGATTCAATGAAAACGTTCCTTATAAAATATTTATTTTGCAGTTGTTTATCTTATTTGTAGTTTTGTTATTATGTACCTGATTCAAGTTTTAAAGTTTCATATTTAGATCTGAATGAAAATGTGCATGTATAATATTTTTTTGGACCCGCAATGATCACGTTATAGGCCTATCATTTGCATAAAGGAAACCACGCCCCCAGTGGGCTGGTAGTGAAACCACGCCCCCTGCACCGAATCAATGAAACTTATGAAAGCGGCGCTTTGAAGTTGTTGCTCTGCCGCAAAGATAAAAGCGTCTCGGATGAAGAATGTGAGAAGATTGACAGATCAGACCTCACGCGACATCAGTCCGCCTGGTCTCAAGTCTTTATGAACGGAGCAACACTCTCTGTAGGAGGCAACAGGCGACAGCAATGCTTTACATCGCAACCACAGGATCGAGTTATTTATCTGGGAATTAATTTTTAATGTCAAAGGTGAGTTGTTTCCATGAAAAAGTAGTTTTGTTGCTCTATGAATGATTTGAACAGGCTGATGTTGGTTTTTATTTTGTATTAAACACTCACAAAAAGTTTAATGGGACCACACTGGTAGCCTATATGTACCACGATACTTTGAAGTTGCATAGAAATACCGTGCATTTCAGGACCACGGTATTTAAAGTATTGTAGTTTTACAATTTATAGCTCAGATGTTGATCTTTAATAGCGCTGGAAATTTAATGGGGTTCTCAGTAATGTTTTATTTAAGTTTTGCTTTTATGTAAACAATGTTACACAAGAATAGCATTTAACATTTCTTTAAAAACAGATTATTAGAGCTTCCTGCAAATGTTTATGTGCATAATATTAATTCATACAATTAATTGTTTTTCCATATATTAAATATTTATTTAATTTTATAATATTTTCTATAGTGTTAAATTCAATAAGTGGGGAATAACTGTAACACTGGGATATTTGTTATATAATTTTATAATATTAACCAACTTCATTTCAAATAAAAACTCACTTCCAAGTCATAATATCTTTGATTCATTAATCTGGGAATGATTGTTATTTTTAATGTCAAAGGTGAGATATTTCATGAAAAAGTAATTTTTCTTTTCATGATTGTTGCTCTGTGGATAATGTGAACAGGATGATGTTGGTTTTTAAGTGTTTTAAACACTTTTGCACTCCCAAAATGTTCCGTTATTATTATTATTATTATATCATTTTAGAATATTAACCAACTGTGTTTCGAATAAGAATTTACCTCCAAGTAATAATTTCATTGATTTATTTTTCTGGGAATTATTATTTTTAATGTCAAAGTTGAGTTATTTCCTCCAAGTCATGTGTTGTTGATTTAAAACCGACTGTCGTGTTACATTTGCTTCAGTAATTATGTTTCCTCCGTGAAAGAGATAACAAAATTATGCTCCTAATGGACTGTAATACACAATATGTTTTTTAGTTTTATTTCAGCAGAAGTGAAGGCCCGTATTGTGAATGACTGAAGTCATGGCTTACTGGATCCAGCTTCATTGGAGATTCTGGTTATTGGTTCCACTGGCTCTGGATCATCTTGCTCTTGCTGAAGATCTGAAGCCCACCAGATGGCCTCTTTACCCTCAGAAGCCTGTGGTTCTGGTCTGGAACGCCCCAACAGAAGACTGCAGGCCTCGGCACAACGTCCACCTCCAGCTCGATCAGTTTCAGATCGTGGCCTCTCCGAATGAAGGCTTCACCAAGCAGAACCTCACCATGTTCTACAAAGACCGCCTGGGCCTGTATCCACACTTTCAGGACGGAGTGGCTGTCAACGGTGGACTACCGCAGATCGCCAGCCTCACGCACCACCAAGAGAAGATGCCGGAGGGGATCGCGAAGTACATTCGCGACCCGTCTGCGCGAGGCCTGGCCGTGATCGCCTGGGAGGAATGGCGTCCGATTTGGATACGGAATTGGGAAGCCAAAATAATTTACAAGAGCCAGTCACAGCTCTTAGTGGCCCAGAAAAACCCAGGCCGGACTCAAACCCAGATAAACAAAGTAGCCCAGCAGGAGTTTGAGATGTCCAGCCGTAAATTCATGCTGGAGACGTTACGTCAGTTTCAGATCGTGGCCTCTCCAAATGAAGGCTTCACCAAGCAGAACCTCACCATGTTCTACAAAGACCGCCTGGGCCTGTATCCACACTTTCAGGATGGAGTGGCTGTCAACGGTGGACTACCGCAGATCGCCAGCCTCACGCACCACCAAGAGAAGATGCCGGAGGGGATCGCGAAGTACATTCGCGACCCGTCTGCGCGAGGCCTGGCCGTGATCGACTGGGAGGAATGGCGTCCGATTTGGATACGGAATTGGGAAGCCAAAATAATTTACAAGAGCCAGTCACAGCTCTTAGTGGCCCAGAAAAACCCAGGCCGGACTCAAACCCAGATAAACAAAGTAGCCCAGCAGGAGTTTGAGATGTCCAGCCGTAAATTCATGCTGGAGACGTTACGGCTGGCCAAAAGCTTGCGTCCAAACCAGCTTTGGGGCTTCTACCTCTTTCCTGACTGCTATAACCACGACTATCTTCGCAGTCTGGAGAACTACACGGGACGCTGCCCGGATGTGGAGGTGGCCAGGAACGACCAGCTGAAGTGGCTGTGGACTGAAAGCACGGCTCTGTTTCCATCCATATACATGAAGTCCGTGTTGCGTTCGACATCCTCCGCTCGCCAGTTTGTCCGAAACCGGGTGAAGGAGGGAATGAGATTGGCATCGGTGGGAGAGGGATTGGCACGTCCTGTTTTTGTCTACAGCCGCCCTACATATGACGATGAGCTGGAACTGCTGACAGAGGTGGGTTTGTAGAAATGCGCTTGATATGCATTAACAAAAAACACAATTTCAACTTCTTGGCATTTAGCTAAGCTCCACGCCTCTTAGTTACTGTTGGTAACTCAGACAAGCGTTCCAGAACTTCATATAGGAATGAACAGAAGATTCTGCAAAATTCTGCAGAACCACCAAAAGTGGTACACATTTATTGCATGTTATTCTTATGTAGGCTAGAATTAAGTGCAGCATTGCAAATCATATTTATTAGGCAATTTTCTTTAATTTACTCTTTAATAAACTTCTACGATGAAAACACATGTCAGATTATCTGAGAATTTAAGATACATTTGTCCATTTCCTCTTCATTTAATTCCATTACTGATTTTTGTGAAGCGCGTGATCTTAGAACCACTAAAAATGGTACAATTTGTTGGATATTACTCTTAATATTATACTAATAATCCGAGTCAGTGTGAAAATGAAAGAACATTAAGTTAGTAATCTTAATTTTTGATTTCTGACTTTGCAGATTAAAATATCATTGCAGATTAAAGTTAAAATGACATCTTGTCAAATTTGAGCATTGTTTGAGACACTTTTGCGATGGAGAAATCTTCATTTAATCCCAATACTTAATGAATGAACTGAAGATTTGTTCATTTATTTATTTATTACTATATGTGTAGGATGGAATTGAATGTTTTAGTATTTGTGTCTTAAAATTAAATTAAATTACTCCTTAATTAATTTAAGTAGCTTTATGTATGGCCTTTAATAATCTGAATCAATATGCAAATGAACTAACATTTAAATGAGTAATTTTACATTTATAAATGCATTTATTTAGCTAAATGTATTACTTTTACAATAATTACTATTCATGTAAAAATATTTATATGTAATACTACCTACCTATAATATTTTACATTTAGTATTTAAGTTTATTTAAATGTAGGGGGTTTTATTGATGTTCTAAACTGTTCAGAGTTTTGTAAAACTGTATGGGTACAACATTTTACCATAGTTTTAGATCATGTCTGTGAAAGTACATTTAAAGCTATCCAAAGATACAGATTCTCCATAGATTTATAGCAAAAGCTTGTCTGATAGTATTGTGGATGGCGACGGTTGCTAAGGTAGCAAAGCCTTAAAATTAAATTAAATTACTCCTTAATTAAAGTAGCTTTATGTATGGCCTTTAATAATCTGAATCAATATGCAAATGAACTAACATTTAAATGAGTAATTTTACATTTATAAATGCATTTATTTAGCTAAATGTATTACTTTTACAATAATTACTATTCATGTAAAAATATTTATATGTAATACTACCTACCTATAATATTTTACATTTAGTATTTAAGTTTATTTAAATGTAGGGGGTTTTATTGATGTTCTAAACTGTTCAGAGTTTTGTAAAACTGTATGGGTACAACATTTTACCATAGTTTTAGATCATGTCTGTGAAAGTACATTTAAAGCTATCCAAAGATACAGATTCTCCATAGATTTATAGCAAAAGCTTGTCTGATAGTATTGTGGATGGCGACGGTTGCTAAGGTAGCAAAGCCTTGTAACATTTGTAAGGCAGGGCTTACAGACAATAAAATATATGTAAATCGCTCCATATGACCCACAGCTAAACTTTGACATGTAACAGAATGTGCGGAAATGAAGGTTGACCTTAAAGGACGAAATATTCCATTCAGCTGTCAGTGACTCTCCAGTCTGTTTGTTCAACGGCCAGAGTGTCCGCAAATAAGTCTTCTATTGTGTATACTAGAGAAGTTCACATGCATAACTGTGTTTTTGTCCCCATAAAGATCTTCAGGTTTTATGCAGCCAAAAAAAAATAAAATCGAAACCTCTTTAAAACAAGATATATTCTTAAAGATTTTAAGTGTATAGGACTCAAAGGTGAACAGTTATTTTTTGTTTGTTTTGTTTTTAGATTTATTTTTTGCCTTTATTATGATAGGACAGTGTAGAGGAGACGGGAAGTGAAAGATCAGGAAAGGTCCTTGAGCTGGGATTCGAACTCGGGACACCCGTAACGCGACAGTGTCACATGTCCGCGCACTGCCCAGTAAGCTATCTGTGCCATTTTTTTTTTTTAAATACTCTCTTTTTTTTATCCCAGTTCTAACTACATGATTCATCCAGAAATGTGAATCTGTGGTTTTCATAACATTGCTGTGTTTATTCAACCATCCCGACCGGCCCTGCAATTTTAGTGAAGATTAAAGCGAGTGTATGTGGTCTTTGTGTGGTTTATCACAAAACCTTTCCTTACATAACCATCATCTCGGTGGTCTTTTGCATGACGCTAGCTGAACAAACTCAGAGTTTCAGAGTAGGTTTAGAGTTGACGAAATCAAACACATCCAGTGGGGAAGTGGCTTCATTGCATCAGATATACAGTATGCCACTTTGCTCACAGCTGATTGGTCCAGTTTGGGTTTGCTATATCTAAACCAGAATAAAACCTGCTCAGGAGCAGGGTAGTAGCCTTGTAGCTTAAGTTACCATGGTGATGAAAATTATAACAGCTAAGGGGCGTTGTTAGGCACGACGCGAAGCGCAAAGCTTATTGCTTTAATTGAAATCTCATGGAATATATGGAATAAACTATTCTGACAAATTGTGTTACATTAATAGGTCTACTTTTTTTTCTGGTTTTCCATTATGATTGCATTTTCATACAGTTTTCTGCCTAAAAATGCCTGTTATACAGTTATGCATACATGGTAACGAATTATTTAATTTACTGTAAAATACTCAAACAGAAAAGCCTGTGAGGCAGAAACAATAGTGTTAAAATCAGGTTTTATTTTTTGGTTTTAGCCAATGGTTATACGCAAAAGAATTGCCACATCAGAGCCGCTTTGTTGCCTTTCACACTCTGCAAGCATCTTTCAGATCAGCTTTATCCGACACCATCGTTGTAGTGTAAAAGTGGATAGATGAATAAATGCATGCAAGAAACAAAATCACAATTTAGTATGAAAATAAATGCAAAAAGATAATTTAGCATCCAAATATCATAACAACATCATCGATGTCAGTAAGATTTTGAATGCAGAACTTTCTAGCAATGTAAATCAAAGATCAAAATGAAGTTAATCAAGCTGATAAAATGAAGTTTTGTTGCTTTTATTCCATGTCTGTTGGATTTTAGCCCATTTAAAAGCTAGAATACTCCTCTAAATTAATAATCTAAAAGATAATCTAAAAGATATATGCGTTTAAATAATCTTCAAATAATTTGAGCATTTAAAATACAGTGTCTTTCTTTCCTGGGAAAACACAACGCATACTTTTCTTGCATTCAGGTATATGCAGATTTTGTCCAATAAAACGCTCCCTAGATTTAGCAAGCCCCGCCTACTAAGCTCTGTGTAGCAAATCATAGTTTAGGGATTAAAAAATTAGATGAGGCCTTCCATATATCCTGCCCCAAACTGTTTTGTTCCAATAAGAAAGAAATACATCAGCTAAGGGATGAAAACTAGATTAACTGAAGAAAACTGTGAGGAAAAATAAAAAATTTGAGGAAAATCAATACAGTGCAGTCTTGAATGAAGGTAAGCTGACGGTTTTGTTGGACATTTGCTGTGCAGCCCTGTCACTGTAAACCAGGGGTGTCCAAACTCGGTCCTGGAGGGCCGGTGTCCTGCAGAGTTTAGCTCCAACCCCAATTAAACACACCTGAAGCAGCTAATCAAGCTCTTATAGGCATACTAGAAACTTAAAGGCAGGTGTGTTGAGGCAAGTTGGAGCTAAACTCTGCAGGACACCGGCCCTCCAGGACTGAGTTTGGGCACCCCTGCTGTAAGCAAAAAGCAGCACAAACTGTCTGAAATCACTCTGTAGAGCCACTAGATGACAGTAGAAGCACACTTTCAAGTGTGCTAAAATGACTGGTAACATCCAGTTCAAAACCCTTTGTATAATATGTAGAGATGGCAAACATGAAAGTCTTGTTTACTAATTGTCTGGGCTAGAAACACTCAGGTAACTCAATGAAACGTGGCATGAATCACCATAGCTTTGATCAGATGTGGATGTGTTTGTTTGCTAAGGTGTTTAGCTTGGTTGTTGGCATGTTGCTTTGCTGTTTTTTGGCCTAACTGTCAAAGACGGTCTTTAGAAATGGCTTTGTTTTGTGTAATACTTTGATTTCATCAATAGAAATCGTCGGCCTTGTACTATGAATATACTGTTGATAATTCCACTGAAATCATGATTCCATTCCAATGTTTTAGACATGTCAATTATGTAGATGTATTTCTCTTACAAAATGTATCGTTGGGAGACCATGATACAGTGATGGTATCGGATGGTAAAACTTTGATACTTCATGGTACTAAACAACATGCTACCCCAAGGTACTATACCAAGGTGCAATAGTACATGTCCAAAATACCTTGGTAGTGCCATGGTATTTTACTTTCTTGTAAGTGTTGTGAACAGACTTGGATATAGAGAGTGAAAAGAAAAGGAAATCTTTGCAATCATAGATGTAATCTCCTCATCGTTATTGCATTATCTTGGAGAAAATGAAAATCATCTTAAGATGTTTGGGTTTGACCTTTATAGGGGTCAGAGAGACCTAGCACACTATTAAGGGGGTATTTTCCAGTTGAAATTGGTTGCAGAAGATGACTCCAATCAGCAATTTGAACAAAATAATTCCATTTTTTGAATTTGGTGTCCAAATCTAAGTAAACTGGATGTAACAAGGATGTAACTAAATGTAAAAGTTGATTCGGTATTTCAGTAGTTGAATAATCATCCATTGCAAGCCATCCACAGAACATCTATACTTATTGCTTTTATGAAGTCAGACTCAAGTGAGACTTTTATTTAGTTAAACTACTGAATCCAATGGTCCTTTTCATGGTTGATTGCCAGTAAAAAAAAATCACATTAGACAAAACCTACAAAAATCACTGATTAAGGGAAGAACAACTTTACATTTCGGTCATTCTGGTCTGTGGCGGCGTTGAGAGAATTACCCGCGCTCGTGA